CGGCTGGGCCAGTGGCGGCTGCCTGGGCAGCTCTGTGGGCGCCCCAGGGCCGCCAGCAGCCAAACCGGGGACGCCTCCGCCAGCGCAGCCCGTGGCGCCCTCTGCCGCCGCCGCCACGCCTGAGTCCAGCGTCCGGCCCACATGCTTTCCCGAGATGCGCTTGTTGCGATGCAAGCGTTTTGGGAGGCCTGGTGCTGAGCGAGCCGCTAAGATGATCCATGGACTGCTCCACAGACCTGCTTCTGGGGGGATGGGAACGGCCGCGGCGGGTGTCCTGAGCCACGTCGGCACAGCCACCTCCCTCCTTCGGGCTCTGCACTCCTGGGGAGCTCGGCCACTGGGGCCAGCCCTCCCCGTTTTACCCCTGCCCCTGCAATGAACCAGCTGGGAAGGTGCCTGCGGGGCGGGGGGCAGGCTCCAGAGAAGGGCACAGGCACCCCACCGAGCCTTCCTTATGTCGGGAAGCACACCGACGACTGCCTTCCCCTGCCTGCTCCTTGGGCAGCTTTAGCAAGAAACGTTCACTGCAGAGGAAGACTGGATCCCGGGCCCAAAGGAACAACCTGCCAGACCCCTTTCTTGGCACCCATTTCATGGCGCTGTCATGGCGCTGTCACCAGGCACCGATGCAGCCCAGCTCAGGGGTATTTTACCCCAGGGTTTGTTTGATGTCCTAAGGACACAAGAAACGCCACGCTGGATCAGACCCAAGGTCTGGTTGGTCCAGCTCTCTGCACACACGGTGGCAAACCGGCTGCCCACGGGACCCCTCCGGCAGGATGGGGGCAAGGCCTCCTCCTGCCCAGCTCCTCGGCGGCCGTCGCGTGCAGGCATGCCCCTCTGGCAACGGAGGTAGCCCCTAGCCAGCAAGGCTACTAGCCACTGATAGTACCACCCCCACCCCAAAACTGGCCAGTCCCCTTTGAAAGCCATCCAGATCAGCAGCCATCGCTGCTTCCTGGCCAGACTACGTCCCCAGGGTCACTCACAGGTCAAGCAGCTTGCAAGAGGAGGATGTGAGAGTCCCGCACGTGGTGAATTAGCAGTCCAAACAAGAAGGGGATGAGTTGGCAGTAGGGATTACATTTCGGAAGTCTGAGAGTACCAGCTGCATCCCCCAGAACCTGTCACCACTCACACTTCCTTCCAAACACCTGCTGAAATAGCGAGCTGGGAGGGCAGCCAGCTTCAGCTCATGGGATGAAGGAACGAGTTCCCCTGTACTCAGCACTAGTCCGACCTCACCTGCAGTCCCTGGTCCAGTTCTGGGCACCTGAGTTTTAAAAAGATGCAGAAAAGCTGGAAGGGTGCAGAGGAAGATGCAGGCACTGGAGGCCAAGCCCTGTGGGGAAAGACTGGGAGAACCGGGCATGTTCATCTCAGGAAGAGAAGACCTGAGGCTGAACCTGAAGAGATGGGACAGCCCTCTGCAGGTAGCTCAAGGGCTGCCACAGAGGGGAAGGAGCAGATCTCTTCCCGACTATTCCAGAGTGCAGGACACGGAACAATGGACTTAGAAGAAACCAGATTTAGACTAGACACTGGCAGTACGACACTGGAACCTATTTCTGGGGAAGCTGTGGGCTCTGCCATACTAGAAACATCTGGACAGTCATCTGAGTGAGATGGTGTAACCTGGGTCACCCCCCTGCTGTTGCAGGTCACCAACGGCCGTCTGGCCCCTGCCGACTCTATAATTCTCTGAACTCTGCCCTCCAGGAAGTTTCTTGCCTCACAGACCTGCCTTGTGATCTGTCACAGCGGAATAAGTCCCTCTGGATTTTGACTGGCGGTGTGGAGGATGCTAAACCACGGAGGAATCTTCTGTTATGCTGCTGCAATTGCAAGGGACTACGAGTAGTGCTACCCCCGGCTCAGCCCGGCAGGCGAGTCTCCTACAGGCCATCTCGAAAGACTCTTCCTTTCCTTCACCCGAAGCTGAGAGGCTGTTTCTGTTTTAGCAGAGACATGCCAAATACACCAGGCTCCATCGCCAGTGGCCTTGTTCAAATGCAACCAGAACTCCCCAGACTTTCCTTCCAACCATTTCTGCATAAAACGGTTATGCAAAGGGAGGGCGCCCCCTCGAGGAGCCGTGAGCAAACGGCAGGATGAGGCGAGCGGCCCTTTTGCGCTCGCCTCCATCCCGAGGAATTGTTCTGAACCGCCCGGAGAGCTTTGACAAGAGGGTCACACAGAAGCAAAATTAACCATCACCCCTGATCTCCAAAGAACGTACATTAGCTGGGGCACCTTTGGAGATCCTGGTGAAGGAATGAGGATTCCAGTAGCAAAGAAAAATGTGCCACAAAAAATAATTTAGACCATGATATAGATAGATACCCAGGGTATCAGTTGCAATGCAATCAGCTCAGCTATGGCTCATCAGATTTAAATAAATACAATTTTGTGAGAAGCGCCAACACTTTTTCCTTTTTTAAAAACTTGTGTTTACAACCTACTGATTTTAAAAGCCTCTGGCTTGAAGCATCAAGTGAGGAAGTCCAAGGAGGAAGCTGTCCCCCCCCTTCCCCTGCAGCCCTTCCCACCTTCATGAGGAAGGACGGATGGCTGGACACGTGCCCACTGGGTGCCTCTGAGCACTGGAGGTATTTTGCATAGGCCAGGAAGTCATTTCATTTGCAGAGAAACCTGCAGCACTAGCAACTTTAAATGTGCAAAGCATTATTCTGGTTTCACAGGTCTCCATCCGTGTAAGGGGGAATGGTGAACAGTGGGCTCAGAAGGGAAACATGTGACACAAAAGCAAGACAACTGGAGAACTCACAGATGTGGGAAATGCTCACAGGGTCTTCTGCCTCTCCCATGTTATCTCTGCTGCAACACTGGGCATTTTTACTTGGGAGTAAATCTCAGTCACTGGAGTGGGGTTTATTTCAGAGGAAACACTTGTAGGATTGGAGTCAGCCAGCTACAAGGCTCTGCCAATCGCCCAGCCAGTGCAAGAGTCTGCAGGGACTCCAGGCACCCTACATATGCTCAGAGGAAATGCACCAACCTCAACAACGTGCTTGAAAACAGAATGTTTATCCTTATGGCAGTGACCTTATCTCTGCCAGTACTGGGGTGAAAGTCTTGTTTAACTGAGTCTACCTGGGAGGTTTTTCACCAGATTTGCCTGCTAATAATGCATACTTCTGTTCGCTACCATTCTTTTCAACACGCCTGACCTTTTATAGCATGCAACTCTCTTCTCCGTTAAAAAACTCTGGCTGCCTTGCTTTGAACACACTGTGAGAAGGCAGGGCTCTCGCGAGGGGACAATCGTGCCAGTGAAATTGAAGACAGGCGAAGAAAAGGGAGACCAAGCAAGAGATGAGCTGACTCCATGCAGCAAGCCCCGCGCTCAGATCTAGAACAGCTAAAACGAGATGGCGAGGACGGGGCTCTCGGGGGCTTTCACTCGTCCGGTTGCCAGAGGCCAGAGACTTGACGGCACATAACATTTGTTGCCACTTTCATTGCTCTTATGTGCATCCTTGCAGGGTTTTTCCGCTTTGCATCGTTGGGCACTGCCTTGACAACTCGATGCCAGGGTAGATCAAGGCGGGCAGCGAAGAACTCAATGTGTGCTGTGAACATTTGTGCACAGAAGTTTGCAATCTCATCCTGTCCTCAGAAGTTACTCCCACCTGGGGTTTATTCGTGTGTGCAGGGGAAGTAACACTGTTGTGTATTTGGAATATGGAGTTGCATCTTTTTACTGTTTCCCATTGGAAATATTGTGGGAGGGGACCGGGCTGGGCGGGGGCTGCACCAGATTCCTGTTCATAGGAAAACAGCAGGGAGAATAAGACCAAGCGGATGGCTCCTGCTTTGCGGCACAAATCACAAGCAAGGTCAGGCAGGTGCTCTTGTGCAGGGAGGCGTGCATGAATGGCTCAAGCCCGGCTGGGGACTCGCCCGCTTCTCACGCTCCACCTGCAAGATCAGGTCTGAATCCCGATCCAACTTGCGTGTCACCCGGAGAAAGTTCTTCACAGCGATCCTGAGTGCTGCTTTGCTTGCTCCGCGCGCCAACTTCAGCGGGATTTCATGCCCGCTCGCAGTCTCGCAACGCTTGCAGGATCGCAGCCCAACGCATCCGGAGGATATGCGGCCTCCTGGCTTTTTCCGACCCTCCCCCAAATTCAAAAAACCTGAAAACTGTGTACAAGTTTGCTTCTACAAGGCCTGCAAACGGGATGCGCCCCGCCCTGCTCTTCCGGCGCCCCCCAGAACTCTCAGGCTGGCCACGGCCCGGCCCGTCCCGCCCGACGGCAACGCTGCCGCAGAGCGCCATAAGAGTGCCTGGCATGCCTGGCCCGAGCGAGTTCACACCTGCAGCCAGGCATCAGGCACGTGTACTCGGAAGCAAGGCCCGCGGCCTTCGGCGAGCCCCGCTTCGCGCCGAGTATGCACAGAAGCGCAGCTCGTGTTTTCCCGACTGCTGGGGGCTCGTGCGTACCAAGCCATCCCTGGCGCCAAGGCCGTTGCAGGCACGGAGCGCTCTGCCGCCTCTGCACCGTGCCTGGACCCAGCTCCGGAGGAGAGCACCGGCCATCCTGATCCCCACTTCGCACGGCGCCCACGGTCTGCAACGAAGAAGCCAGTACCTTAGTTTTCTTTTTTCCTCTTCCCTCCCCATCGCCTTTCCTTTTGTATCGTCGCCTTTTGCTTTTATTTGCAAGCTTGCGGGCGAGGACTGCTTTAAGGAGTATCCGTGTAAACCACCCGTGGGGCCCTTTCGGCGGGAGGACGGGATTTAAAAAAGCCCAGTATAAGTCATGACCATAAATGATGCAATACTCACAGGCGAGATTCCAAATATTTAATATTTACGAGAGCGTGCAAGCAAAGAGCGCAGAACGGATCACGGTGCGCACGCGCGGCGGGCGAGCGGTGCATGCCGCTCTTTCCCCGCCTGCCTCCGCTCTATGGCTCCACTCTCCGCCACGCCCCCCCACTCTCGCGAGACTTGCTGCGCGGCCCTGCCCGGCCTGCTTCGCCCCTTCGCGGAGGCGCTCGCCGGGATGGCGTCCGACTCAGACGCCGAGGACCTCTTCTACGACGCTGCTGAGGATGTCGCCCAGCACGGAGGGACCCCATCGCCGTGAGTCTGTGGGGAAGGAAAGTGGCGGGCGCGGGCGCGGGGGGAGGAGCAGCAGCAGCGCGCACGCAATCCGCATTGACTCTGGATTAAGCCTCACCCCGGATTGCCTACACTAAGAGGTTTGGCAGCCAGCTCTCGCTGCCCAACCCCACTCCAAACTGAAAGTAGCGTTGGGAGAGGAAGAGGAGTAGTGGAGAAACAGCAGCGTGGCTACTAGGGCTAACCTAATCTGTATTGAAGCCGTAATTCGGATTATACCCGGCCGTCTCCGACTTCTCTAGCAGTCTTTCCCCCTTTCCCCCTATGCCTCTTGCCTTCCTCGTTCCTTTCCCCATCCTCTGCTGCCTCCTTTCTCACTCGGATGGTTCCTCTCCTGCCTTTCCTCCGGGTTCGTCCGTCTTCCGCAGCCCCGGACCCTCCTGCGATCTGGGCAAGGGCGGTTCAAGCCCAGCCAGAGCCGGCTGGAGCAACGGCGTCGCGCCCAAAGTCCAGCAGCTGACCTTGCAGAAAGACCACCCTAAAGAGGGACATCTGGGACACCTTCCCGAGCATGCCCAGCCAGCTTCCCCTTCCTCCTGGATTTCCTTCCTGAAAATCCGCCAGATCCCCTTCCCCACATTTAGGCCTTCTTTCTAAGCATGTACCTTGAAAAAGGAAACTCTGCATATGTTTCAAAGTCTCTCGTTTCAGTGCCATGCCTTTGCCCCTTCTTTCTTTTTCTTTTTGTCCAGCTTCCCACCCCACCCTTCAAACTCTGCAGGCTTCCCTGCCCACCTGCTTTCTACTTTCCCAAATATACAGTCGCTATGTCATTGCTGGGCACAGGCCTGTTCCCCTCTCTTGATCTGGGCCTCTCCCCAAAAGATCTGGGATGAGTTGCAGGATTTCTGCTCGTGCACAAGCTGTCATCCCTAAAGTCTGGTCCACAAGCCTTTCTCCCTACATGGGGCAAGTGGAAGTCCCTGCTGTATCCCCATCTCTTTACACATATATAGGCTTTCTTTTATTGCATTGCTTCACCCTTTTCACCAGACTCTGGGGTCAGTATTGCTCTCTGTCTCCCCCCAGTTGCTTCCAGATCCCTGTACCATTCCTTCTGCTGTTGCTGTTGAACCTCTCTGCTCCTGCTCTTCATGTATGATTTTTGCCTCTTATCCAGGCTTGTTTATTCTAATGCTGCCATTTCCCTTCTTGTTCTCAACCTTGCCCCAGTTTGGTGGCTGTCGTTTTGTATATTGTTTTGCTGCCCTCCAACTGGCTGGATCTCAGATACACCAAATTCCAGTTTTCTGTTCACCTGCTCGGGCAAACACCCCCGTTCTTCTGCTTGCCTGCCCTTGTTGAATGCTGTCTCCCAGTGCTAAGCGAGTGCCTTAGGAAAAGCGGGCCAATTCTCTCTCGCCTCCCTCCCCTCTGTTTTGTACCAGTCTACTTCCAAGGAAAGGGGTTAGGCCTGATAACCTCCGTTTGTGTTGGCTTGTGGTCAGAAGGGTGTGTGACGCTCCAGTGAGAAACACATGACAGCAGGTGGCACCATGGAGGGAGAACTTCTGTGCACGAGAGGAGCTGTCGCTTGCCTGAGCTGCTTTGCCTGCAGCTGGTGTGCTCAGTGGAGTGGAGGAATACTTTGTCCACAGCTGGAGAGCTGGCAAAGTTGTGAGCCTTCCAGACAGTATAAACACTCCTCTTTAGAGGCTTCAAGACTCTCCCCTCAGAAATTCCACGGCACCTGATGGAGTGATTCATGTTCGCTGCATTGTGGGGGAAACCCTGCCCTCAGCATGTTTCTTTGCCAGCTAAGGAGTTCTTCTTAAAAAGATTTTCAGAAAACCAACAGCTGGTGGCATTTATAAACACAAAACACACCCTTTGCGGTAACCTTTCCCAGCCTGTTATCACTGCCTTGCGTTACCCACAGTCTGCACGTTCTTTCTGGAGGGATTTTCCCTTCCTCAGGCTTGGAACCAAGCAGTGGTGCCCAGCCTCGTGGCTTGCACGGTACCCTGCTGCAGGTGGTCCATGGCCTGCAGAGCTCCAGCCGCATGGCTCATTTCCGGCCATTTCACAGTTCGTAAGAAAGTGAGCAGAGCGAGGGAGGCAGTCCTAGCAGATCCTTTGCTGCACTTGACCATTGAGAGTGAAAGCGTGGGCACAGAAAGAAGCCAAGGTGCTTAGCATTTCTGTTGATCTGTAAAACTGGTTGAGGACTAAGACTTGGTAGCATTTGTGACTGTCAACCAAGCGGTAACCAAGTTCCCCCCACGTACACATCTGAATTCTAACACCGACCTGTGTTCCTGCCCCTAGGGCTAAAAGGAATGCAACACTAAGCCTAACAAGCCACCCACAAGGGGCTTTGCTTACTTCCCATAGAGCTGTTGGCTTTCGCAGTGGGGATCCCAGTTTTGGGATGAGGCATTCCGTACAGCCATAGGACATTTTTCCTCATCCAAACAGGCATGGGATTGCACCCTAATTCATTTGTAATTGCTGTTTTATATTGCATTTTACTCTGTATTTTATTCTGTTCTGTGTTTTATTTTGTTGTTGTATCCCACCCAGGGAGCCATACAGCTAATGGGTTAGGTTAGAAATCCAATAAACAAATAATTATACTCTGTTTTTAGCCAAGACGGGTTCCCAAAGGAACTTGCAATTGAAATCCATGCAAAGGTGCGGTGTATTAGGATGCGGTGCTCTTGATGGCAGCCCCTTCCAGTCCTGGGCGTGCAGTGACACAGAGGCTCTTCGTTGTCCTGTTGGGGGACCTGTGCTGGCTGAAGCCACCCACCCACAGGAGTGATTCTTCCATCTGTCTTCACAGCCCTCTGTGCCCCAGTACAGGAACACCTGAAACTGTTTGCGAGGCTTGGTGTTGTCTACATCCTCACCGGCAGTTGCTCTCCAGACTCTCAGGCAGCACGCCTTCCTGGAGGTGCAGGGAACTGAGTCTGGGGGCCCCCTGTGTGCCAAGCAGGGGCTGTTTGCAGAGAGCTCTGCTTGTTCTCTGCAGAGGCAAAAGGAGCTGTAGACGCACTTCAGCAGCTGCCTGGTGGGCAGCATAGGTGCCGGCCGCCAGAAGCGGCGTCTGTAAAAGCTTCCGTTCCCTGGCAGCGGGGAGGTAGCCCAGGTTCCAGGGTCTTCACTCCAGTGGGAGTGGGCAGAAGGAACTGCACACAGACGTGAGTCCTGGTACAGTAGGAATTCCATCCCACAGAAGCAGCTTCCTCTCCGCACTTTCTGCAGAATCGCTCAGGACTTGACCAGCCATCGGCCTGGTGGTTTATGACGAGGGATGGCTGTACTCGGATGACTGGGCAAAGGGGCTCGGGATTTCTTTGGTGCATATTTTTTAAAACACTAGAGAAGAGTCATGTTCACAGGGACAGATGGACCAGTTCAATATTATTCTGGGCTCAAAAGAAAACTGTGGCCTTGTTTATTGTGCTAATGTACTGTGTGTTGAAGTAGCCCCTCTAGTGATGATGGCAGAAGTGACCTTAAGAATAGCAACTTTAATTATCCTCACTCATCGATTAACACTTCTGAAGTGCCTCTTGCGCTGCGGGTGCCTTGAGAGATTGTTGAAGGGCTGTTCCTGCTCTTAAACTTCACAGTTTGTATGTTTAACAAAACGTGGCTTGTTTGTACGGTTGATTAAAATCTGCTGCGGTGCAGCTTCTTCTGAAGGCTCACGGAAAAAGCCTCAAAGCTCAGGCAGAGCTGCTAAGGAGGTCTGAGAAACAGAATGGGGCTTCTCCAGATGCCCTCACCTCCTTTTTCACCCTGCTGGCAAAGAATCCCCCCCCCGCCCTGTCAGTGCATCAAACAGATGTGGTGTCAGTGCATCAAACAGATGTGGCGGCATGGTCATTACACTGCAGCAGAACAGGTTATAAGCAGGGGTTGCGGGGTTTTTGGACTACTAGCCCCATAATCCCCGACCTTGCTTATTTGTGCTGATGGAAGTTGTCGCCCATAGCACCTGGAGGGTCACCTGATTGGGCAAGGTTGAGACAGACATTTCTGCACTACAACTCCATCGCCCCTTACCATTGGCCATTCAGGCCAGGGCTGATGGGTTTTGTGGTCCAAAGCATTTGGAGAGCACCAAGGTGGGGAAGGCTGAGCTAGAAATTCACAGCTCTCTGTGAGTGTGGTTGGGATTCTGCTTGGGTCGTGGTCCTGTGGGTTGCTCTTTCCTTAAAATACATATCAGTCACCTCTTTATTAAAAGCAATATCCAAAACAGCTTACAAACACAGAGTAGCAAAAATAGCCATCTATTAAAAGAGCAGCTACATGGAAAATAAACACAGTGTTTAAACTTAACTTTAAAAGCAGAGATCAATAATACTTCTTTAAAATCAAAACAGGGAAACTGTTAAAGCAAAGGTAAAAGTTATAACAACCCCCAGAAAGCTACAAGCTCTCTTCTTGTCTTATTATAAAAAATCCATTCCTGCCTCCTTTCCATGGAAAGAAGGTTCCCCCCACCCCCCACAAAAGCCCTCAGCAGTTAAACATGCAGGATGGCGATTCAGCCCACCCGGGTTCTAGTCCACACTCAGCCATGGCGCCAACTGGGTGGTTTTGGGCCAGTCACAGACCCAGCCCAGTCTACCTCACAGGGTTGTTGTTGGGATAAGATTGAGAGCAAACTGCTTTGAGTTCTATGCTATAAATTTAATACGCATCACCTGGTTCTAAAAACTGGGGCACATTTGGATGGGAGAAGCGTGGAACCAGACTGTTTTTGCTTAAGGGCAGCAGCATTGTCTGTGGACTAGGCAGAAGCACCGAGGTTCTCCATCCCCACTGGTGTTTTCATCAGCCACCCTGCCCCTTTTAAGGAGGGGCCATAACTTACCAGTGCCTCCCCAGCTTCACATGCAGAAGGTTCTGGTCCTGGAACCCTGGGCAGCTTCCCAGGGGAGGCCTGGCCTTCTACCTGGAATCCTGGAGCAGCCCCATGGTTACCTTGGGAACCATCAATGCGT